CATCAGGGAGTTCAAAAAACAAAACCCAACTACCCCGTCTCATCTTGATCCTCTGAGACCAGCGCAAAGACTTTCTCAGATTCTCGAAGGCCAATCACCCAGCTTGCATCACCATGACCCGGTCGTTCGGTGATATTCACCTCGACGTCATCATCGGGCTGCATGACAACAGCCGCGACATTGGTATTCATTGTGGTAGGGAGCCTCCACTTGCCCTCCACAGGGTCCATGTCAAATCTAGAGATGAAGGTGGCAACGACGGCCAGGATTTCATTGGTTGCAAAGTGGCGGCCAGGGCATAGCGTTTTACCACCACCGAACGCGCGGAAAGATGCATCGCGGCGACGGTTGAGGAACCGGCGCGGATTGAAATCTTCTACATCTTCACCCCAAATACTTGAGTCTTGATGGATAATGCGACTTGGCATCTGTAGCATCGCTCCTTTTTTCAATAGCCACTGGTCAAGGTATGTATCTTCCATGACTTCGCGCACCGATGTTCCCATGCTGCGGTACCGAAGCACTTCTTGGTATGTAGAGAGCAGTAGCGGACAGTTATCTTTGAGTGTAGTAATGTCGAGGAATTTGGTTTTTTTGCCTTCTTTAATCTCGGACTTAGTGCAAGCGTCGATCTCCGCCCGGATCTCGCCTAAGAGGTATGGATTGGAATTAATCATAATAAGACTCCAAAATGCTGCCGGAGCTGTGTTTACGAGAATGGCGATTGACCCTCCGACCTCGTATCGGGCAATATCTTCCAAGGGGACGTTGTTATCCACCTCGGCTTGGTATCGCAATTTGGCCAAAGTCGATGCTTGCTTAACACCACCAGCGTTGTAGTATTTGATGAAAGCATCGACTACCTTTTGTCGAGCTGATATCGGCTTTCGGGCTGTGAGCGACGGGAGAAATCCTATCAGGATTGTTATGAGGCCGCTTTCGAATTGCCTTGAGGCTAAAGTTAACCAGCTGTCCCTGGAATTATAGCAACAACATACACTTACCAGAACGCGTCAACGATTTCTGGATCCTCATACGGACTCAGTGGACCATATACAGATCTCGTAGTTGCTATGGTGATGGCGTCCCTCATCCAGGCGTAGAGCTTCAGCCGTTTGGGCTGCCTCGGGTGAATCTCATCGAGGGACCTCGCGATCTCTTGGATCATGCTACGGTTCATATCGTCTAGACTCGCCCCGGGCTTCAGCGCGGCTCTCATGGCAGCATATGACTCCATCGACAGACCATGATCGCCCTCGTCGCCGTTGACATTCTTAGCCAGTATCGCCTGGGCTTCCTGGCTCACGCCACAGACAGTCGAGGAGAATTTGGCCTCGATAGGGGGGAAGGCTAGGATCTTGTGTTGCTTTTGGACAGCGAGGAAGAGCTCCGGCTTTGTTATGACATACATCTTCTGCCCCGGGAGGCACATGGTAAAAATTGGAGTCTCTACTGCCTTGCTGGAAAAGACAGAAACAGTTTAGCAACATAGCCCGGGAGCCAGGTGAATGAATGAAAATGTGGCTTTACCTGAGATTGACATAATATTCGAATTTGCTGCGCGACATGCCAACCATATGCCCGATGAGCGGGATTGATTGCGGAGCCAACGGTGGCTCGCGTCGATCGTGACCACCGAACATCTTGCGAGTGAAAAAGTAGACTACGGTAAATGCGCCAGCGAGCAAGACGAAGCCAGTAGGTTCATTCAGACCGACAGCCATGCCGCCCATTGAGAAGAAGGAAAAGACTGAAGCGTATGGTGAGAGAGGGGGCGTGAAAAGGCAATTTGGGAGCTATCTGCCGTGAGGTAAACGGCGGATAGCAAAAGGGGGGAGACTACAATTTCCCTGGCTGCACAGCGATATGACCATCGGACAGTCAAGTCGTGTTGATGAAACGCCATAATCTTGCCGGGACTAATTGGCTCGCTGAGAAGTAGGCGCAACATTGAAGCCTGTTGCTTAGGTGGAGGCTGAAAAAACCTCTCGGTGGAATGACAGAGGTACGTACTGGTACGACAACCTACACCAAGCGACTTAATGCTGGCATTAGGTACTCAAGGGTACCTACGACGAGACTATCGCTTCCAACTGGAACGCATCCATTGTACTGAAGCGCTGCAGGCTGCAACGGGATTAACCGAAAGCCTGGATTGCCCCGCTGATATCCGTCCTCATCCCTGCTAGCTGCTTTCTCATGGGCACTAGCTGTTACCGTATAGCCACATATCATCGTTATGAATTGATCTATCCCACCACACCAATCGTACCTATCCCCCTAAGTTTGCCGCAAACCTGTCTGACAATGTTTCTACAACGGACGTCTAACATGCATACTAGACCTTATCATGGTAGCGGTCAGGTAGGTGTTGTGGGATGAACCTGATTTGGAGGTCTGGCGTCGTCCCCCCCAAGATGTCGAATCTCTATTGAACCTGATCGCTCACACTCCCATATCAAATATTGTCTCGTAGCCTGACGGTTGACGTCGCCAATGCACTGCCCTTGAATCCTTCAATGCTCGTTCCCGTGTCCCACCAATTTGTCCACTGTCTAACAGGAGCCGGCACTCAGCATGACTCAAGAGCCAAACTACTTTCTGATCCAGTATGCGCTGGCCGTAGGGTGCATAATATGCCTGTGCATATGGCTCAAGCTCTCATTTTCACCCACTGAGTTCCCATACGCTGGAAATGGAAGGGTTCCGTTCCTTGGGGTGCTCGAAAGTATCGTGAAGGGTAAGCAACTCTTGAGAGACGTCTACGAGACGGTATGAGAATATGTGTCCCACTATCTACGGAATGAATGATGACTTTATCTCAAGCAACTTGAGGATGACCAAGCGTACCGTCTTCGCGGGCTCTTTGGCGACAGCATCGTCCTGCCACCTACCATGTTACAATGGGTCATATCACAGCCCGAGACTAGTTTAAGTGCCAAATGGGCACAGTTGGACGCTCTGAATATTCCCATTACCTTCCTTCGCTCAGAGATTGGTACCGACCCCTTACATGAGCCTGTCGTTCGTCGCGACCTCACTGCCAACCTCGACCGACTCGAAGATGTTATCTGGGAGGAAGTCGGCTCATCACTCGAGCTTATATGGGGAAAACAACGATTCTGGTGTGAAGTGAATCTGGATCACACTATCAGGCGTATTGTCGGCTCGTCGCTTTGTAAGTCTGAGTTAGGAACCTTTGATGCCTTAGATGTTTACTGATTGCAGTCTAAACCAGGCCAGCAAGACGACTACATCGAGAACTGTATCCGCTATGTCACCCAGGTTTCGACGATTGGTCTTCTCCTCGGCGTCTTCCCCTATTGGCTAAGGCAGACAGTTGGTGTCATCGCGACGATTCCAATTCGGACTACTTACGCCGCTTGCTCGAAATATCTGGTTCCTCACTTTGTAAACCTCATATCTCAAGAACCCTAAAGCCGCCCTAGCCTATTTAGTGCTTGGCTTCTGCTGAACTCAGAGAAGCTTTCGACATCCTCCCCAGAACGTACCCCAGACCTTCTCAGCAGGCGAATCATGGCGTTGAACTTCGCAACCATCCACACATCAACAATGACAACCTGCAACCTTTTATTAGATATCGCCTCACAGCCATCGACACTCAGCATGCTTAGAGAGGAGTCCCAAACGAGCAATGCTCGTTGGAATGATTCGTGCACCCGTGCTCGTCTGAATCAAATGTACAACCTCGACAGTGCACTGCGCGAGAGTCTACGCCTCTGGGGTCCCGTTCCGAAAGCGATGACGCGGAAGGTCATCCATCAAGACGGCATCTCACTACCAACAGGGCAGCACCTACCGCAGGGTGTCACGGTCTGCGTATCAGGTTGGGGCCTACACCACGATAACGCAATCTACCCACGAGGCTATGAATTCGTACACGACCGTTTCAAGAGAACGTCACAACAGGTTACTCTTGACGGCTCTCAGGATAAGAAAACCACGCCTAGGAAGTCACTAGCAGCGGCAGAGACGGATGAGTCTTTTGCGACTTGGGGAATCGGAAAACATGCCTGCCCTGGTCGTTTCTTCGCCGTAGACTTGATCAAGATCATAGTGTCGCGGATCCTTCTGGATTACGAGATCAAGATTCAGGAAAAACGTCCTGACAATGTGTGGATTGAGTATAATATAATCCCCCCTCCCAACGCCATGTTGCGTGTCAGGAGGCGAATCGGGGCCCCCAAGAATTAAGTAGATCCCATGTAATCGTAACATTTGTTCCGTTGAAAGTCATGCATTGAGATTAGAAATAGAGCCCGCGATGAATCTACCTGGCTTTGACAATCTTTCTGTCCACTGCAAACAGATAGCACCTAGTTAACAAAGAATGGGATAAGGGAACAGGCATGAATGAGCCAATATTTCTCAACCTTTACTAGAAGCGTCCGGACTGGGCCGCGAACCTTAGACTTACGTATAAACAGTAAATGACTAACAGGCCCAACACAAGTGAATCACATGCTCGTAAGGCGCTCTAAGGGAGTTAGATTTAATCCTTATCCTGATAGTTGACTACATGGATCAGGGTCATAAGGCTTTATTCGTTTTTGTTGAACCCAAGATTGGTATCAGTCTTTTTTGAAAACAAGGAGTCACTGTGAGACGATGTTCAAGGTAAAGTACGAAGACCAATAAATTTGCCATCGAAGTCCGGAGACAACTATTCTCTTTATGAAATTCACGCCTATGTAGGTCCCGTAAGAAGGGCTTGATGAGGATGAATATTGGTAGCTATTTTGTTGTCATTTCCACGTGCCAATCGACGCACGGACCACGTACCATGCAGAGATCACCAGCTAGCCTATCTAGTGTGCTCTAAGGCATGCACTTAAAATTAAAGGAAAAAAAAAAGTCAGCGAATACAGTAATGAACCAGGAGAAAAAAGGGCAAAAAAGGGACAAAGAAAATACCTAAGAGAAGGAAAAAAAAACTAGTGGTTGCTACTTCTAGTTTAACTAGAAGGCATTAGGAATTGAGCCCAATGCGGGGGTCGAACCTGGTTGTTGATGTTAGCGAATTTTGTTGCTACTGATTTTTTCTTGGTAGGAGAACAACTTACCCGCAACCTTGAGATTAAGAGTCTCACGCTCTACCGATTGAGCTAACCGGGCGGCTTGGTGGTCTGTCCTCGGGCAATACTCGGTTAGGAGTCGTTTGCTGGGGTAGGGGTCTGGGGTCTGGGAGACTCGTTATCGCGCTCAAGAAATTCCCTGCAGTACAGTATAGAATCTAGTCTATATACTTGTGTCGTAGCTTGCTACATCCCGTCGCTATGGGACAAAGTACATAGAGTGATACAGTACCCATGTTATGCGAACATGCGCGCTCGACAAGGATCTATATCTCTTGAACAAACCGTATGTAAGGTACGGGCACTAGGTATGCCTGTTGGGCCAGGTATTCAATCGGGTCTACATATATCCAAGTGTAATTTAATCGAATTACATGGGATACTTATCTCAGGTCTTGCGGCGTTACCCGTTTCATTACAGCCGTCTAACCGATGCTTTTCTGGTTTATACGGAATTTTGATGAGAGCTGGACTGTCTACCCTATTTACCTACACTGAAGCTATAAGCGAGGTATGTTTAACTATTCTGCTTATGTAGACTATGATTAAGGGGTATTACTTAAGTATTATCTCTGCTGTTACAGTGAGGACAAAAGCGTTTGCTTAGGTACGTAATTGCCGGATCGCGTCAGTCCAGCCTTACTACGCGTCGCGGAAAAACGTGGTTTGGGATAAAAAATCCGGGACCATCTACTAGTGTACACAAATTAGTATTACTTACGTATAGTGAACCAACAAGCTATCTAGGAGGGTACAGTACTAATACATACACGCAGTATATCTTGACCTTAAGCGAAATTGATAACCTAGTTTCTTTACAGATTATCGAGTTGAAAATCGTTAATGTGTACAGAGTATCTAGATAAGTGAAATAGTCTATGTAGAAGACGTGCTGCGACAATTTAGACGACTTATTGCGTAGGTACTGTAGAACACGACTCTACTCACTAACCTAGTCCAGGTAGTGGACAAGCATTGGACAGCCTGTCGGATCTCACGGGAGTTCCCGGTCTGTGTACTACTGAGTACTTACATACTGTACGCGAGACAGATGACGCCAAGCTAGCTTAGCCACGGCTGCTGGGCCGACCGGCATACCGTTATCACCACCATCTCTAACAAAGTTTCATCAGCTGAAAACGGGCCACCCATTCTGCTCTAGTAATTCCCGACTCTCCCTTGTCATCAGCCACACTGGGGCAGTAATAAGTAATAAGCAACATTAGCTGAGGGTACATACTGCAGAATGTTGATAAATACTTGAGCCGCAATGACGTATCAGAGTTGTATGTGTACTACCGCTCCCTCAATTGGCACCATGTAGATACAGTATATTCGTTCTTGGCAGCTCCTAGGCTTTCCATTTCAAGAGGATCGCATCGAGCTAACACTTTTATTGGGGCGTCGATATTCTGTATTTGTTGACGCGGTGTCGGGTTTGACTTCTGACTAGGTAGGGGCATTGGTCGCCTGCCTTGCTGACTGTTTCTAGAACTATTCCCTGTCGTAGGATCGACTCAGGGGGGGCGACTAGTACTAATCATAGTAGCAATTTTGACAAATCATGGCTAACATGTGGTCGAACATGCTGAGAATAAATCGTAATCAGGCTGGACAAATTGTATTAAACGTGGTAGTTGGGTCGAAAAAGTGGGATTTAGGTAGTTTGCCCGACTGTCTACTTTCTTCGCCGCGCTGTCGCGGTTGAAACTAGTTTCTGCCCTCTTTGTAATCGCGATATATTGATCGCCGTCGACTCAGAGTCTCCTACCTATCCCATCGCTAGCCTCACGACGAACCGATATAAAAATGGACAGGTCTGGAGTTAAACCGGTGCGGCGGTTGCATCCAAACGGGATACCGGAAGACCGCCCGGCTAGTTGGAGTGCGCTTCCGCCTGACGATCCCGCCGCACATGAGCAGATGATCAAGTTCATCTCCGAGTCAATAGTCGACGACCTCCAAGGCAACATCTCCAGCGGGTTTATGAGACAGATCCATGCTTCCAAGAAGAGCGCCATGTCCCCCCACGACAAGGCAGAACGGATGCGCATAGTCCGCGACATGCGATCGTCACTGGAGCGCCTTACAGAGGAGCTGGGACAGAAGTTTTTCGAGGAATTCCGCGAGAGGCCGGGTGTTGGCCGGTGGTACGACTCCTGGCTGTTCAACGAGACGCCGCAATTCCTGCGCTGGGAGCAGGAATGGGCCTTTGCACCCGAGGAAAGCGTGCTCACGGTCGGTGCGCGTAGCATCGCCGGCAGCATTGACGGGCGTGTATTTGGCTCCGAAACTACCCCCGAAGTCAGAGTGGAATCTGAAGGGGACTTGGAGGAGTTCGAGGATACCCAGGAGCTCACCCAAATCCCCGAGTACAGACCGGACGCGCCAGTGACCGAGGTAAGGCGGAAATCTCCCATCCTCCGGCCAAACTACAAATCAGTTGACGTGGATGTGGTTAGGAAAAAACCGATGGCCCGGCGCACTCGTCCCCTGGCTGCCAGTGCGAACATACGAACGAAGGTGCCCACCTCTGCCAATCGTGCGCCTGCAGCAATCAAGGTTACGGCTGCATTGCATCTTGTGGTTGTGACGAGACCTGCCGGAACAACTTCAACAGCATCGCGCTCGATAACATCCTCGGCATCGACGTCTCCGGGTCCCCAGCGAAGCTTGACCCGTGTTTCATCACGTACTTGCAAAAACACGATCTCAAAGAGGCTATCACGCTTGATTTTCTCTTCGACAATCTTCTGTCCGGTCTCGACTATGTACCAGATGGAAACGATGAGGCAGTTGATGCGTGGCGCGTGGAATGGGAGACTGCCTACAACGGGCCGGACCCGGAGGCAAATACCGAAAAGCTTCAACGTGAACTTCTCCGTCTCGGGCTTGGCCTTGGCGACAAGCGCGGGGAGTGGTTCTTTTCATTCTGCTACAATAATAGCGAGCGGATCGGAAGCTGGCAACAAAGCCGCCAGATATGGCACTGCACAGACTGCGGGAGTTGTAGCGAGCAGCAGGAATGGCATTGCGGAAAATGCGACAAATGCACTTATGGGAGAGAGATCCCATGTAGTGGATGTGGAGGAGTCTCGGACTCTTACCACGAAGAACACAAGGGGTGATCGGATCCAGGCTGTCCTGGTCAAGGCCGTGGTAGCCTGTCAACGATTTAAGAAAACCACAGGAAAGAAGCTGAAGACACGACTATCTAAAGACCACCTAAGAAATCTTTAGTTATAAATACGGAAGTGAGAAGGTGATGCCTTGGCCAGGTACGAAGTGTACTGCCCTGGGACTCTCAACAACACGACCGGGCCGGACCGGAACCCGATGCTTAGAATGAGGCATACGGGAACCGAGAACCGGGTTTGTATATATACTATATCCCACATTCTCTGATATATTTTCCTTATAGGAGTCAGCCATGATTTTGCGGCGTGGTGGACTTGGGTAGCGGAGGGTTTAACTTAGGTACATGAGAGACCAGTCCTTCATCAATAGCCTTGCTGTTGAAGGATGGAAATGTAAATACCGAATTGTTGTTGCATGTCAGATAAAATTTCCTTTTGGTGGAGGTCTTCCCGCGATGACAGTGGTACTATCGACCTGAGAGTCAAGCCTAATATAGCTATAAAATCCATCTTCAACCACACTTTTAGCGCTGCATTACCTTTTCGAATTTTAGTATGATAATTCAGATAGAATGACATCGGTAGCCGTTGAGCTGGTACTAGGACCATGAACAGTTCACTAGTCCAGTGGTATATCTGTCGCGATTAGGTGCTCTATAAACTGGAATATACAGATTAGTGGGCTTCTTTGCATTCTATGCTTACTAGTTGTGCTATGACGATCAATTTAGAAATAGGCGATCGTTCACTGTTACAGGAAATATCTAGAAGGGGACTGATGACTTGCAGCTTGCTATTCTTGGTCCTAGACAATTGCGGGGAATAGAGGATGAGTACATGTTGCCGGCCGGAAGTGGCGCCCGCATGTAAGTAGGTAGGTACGACCATGGCGGATATAATATCGCTGCTGTTGTAGTATAAAGGGTGCCTACACTTGCCTCCTCTGGTTATAATTATAACTTTACAACCATTCTATTACGTCTCACTTGGGGTTGGTAGGGACTCTAAGCTGAACGGTGATGCGTGGATTTTAGAATATCGGCCTGAGACTTGAACTTACTGTTCACTGGCAGTGGTATGTAGCACCTATAATAATGATTAAATTTATATGCATTCAGCTTTCAAGGGAATTCCATGCTAAAGTACCGGATATATAGGCAGGTACAGTGCACGTACATAAAACGTACGTTCCCATACGTAGAAGAAAGGAGGACGCCACCTACCTGATTCAGAATTCTGCCATAGGTACATATGTAGGTAGGTAGGTAGTAATACGCTACTAAGTAATAGGTGATAGGTAGCTGTAGCCACCTAAAGGGTGGATCGTTACTGGTCTGTAGTGCAGCGTACTACAACAGCTAGCACTAGGTCTAGGCTGCCTACTAGATGACTTAAAATAGGTAGGTGCTTGGTGATATAGATACTTTTTGACGGTTAGACTAGATGGTTACACTACAGGTCGTATAAACATGAACTGGATGACAGGTAGAGCTACCCAAGGTGCCTACATAATATGCGTATATGACTTCAATTACTGAAATCCTTTTAACCTCGATCCGAGCCTTGTGGGTAGTGTCTACCATCTATCTATTCCAATGAATTGAAATAAACCCACCCTATTGTTTGAGAGACTTCGATTGCTTATAGTCTGTCTAATACATAAATGCACTTAAAGACAAAACGTCACCATTAACACCAAATAGGAGGCGGATACCACGGCTTATGTCGGAATTGGACCCCTCCCACCTCCCGACCCACGACTAGCATTAAGCCACTAGGACCAGGACTACCTACGACTGGCTATCTAGACTGGCTATCTATATGCATACATACAGCTTACGTGCAATATAGGTGGTTATTGCTTTGCGAGCTCTCTCCGACTAGATCAGATAGACTATTACTA